AATAACCACAAGGGACTAGGAGGAGCTGGAGGAAAATGTATTTTCAAGCCCTGGATGCCAATTAAGGTATTACAGGAATAATATTACAGTACAGTATCTGCACCGCATTTGCCATGGATGCTACAATTCCACATTTGAATTTATTCAATGTACAAGAACAATAAGAAAGGAGGAAAAAGGGAGAAAACCTCAGACTCATTGATTTTCCAAATGCAATAATGGTAACACAGCTGATTTAACAATATGTTGTCAATGACAGTAAGAACTCATAGGAATGGACACTTTAAATAGCAAAGCACAGAGCTACATCACTTTCATCAGCCCTCTGTAAACCACTGCCATTAATGTAGCCCAATAAATGTCTCCACACCCCACAGCACATCCTGTTTAATTCTCCATATCGACTACATCTGTTCTTCTGCAACAATGAACACTAGTTAGTATGAAGGTAACAAGAAATGAAGAGTCAAGACTGGCTCAAATAGTCCACTCTGTGTAACTAGATATTAATTTGTCTGTTGTCAGATACTATGGGACATAACTGGAATTCCCTATCATGGGCCTTATTCAATTTTTCAAATGCATATTGTGATCTTCCTTCAGAAATCCAAAGTAGCATATTCCCCCAACTTTAAAAAAAATTCTTACATCAAGCCTGTAAGGTAAATTAGACAGGGCCCAAATTCACCCAGCGAGCTCATAATCAGGTGGATATTTTAAATCTGGATTGCTTTATTTCTAGCCCAGAGCTTTCCTAATCCTTATATTCTAACACATGATATAGTTTCACAACAATACAAGATAGCATTAGTGATAAAATATCATCATTAAGAACATGTCTGGCCAGCAGGAATTTATCCAAAGTGTGAAAAGGAATCTATAGAGAAGATAGTAAAGAGATTTTAGGTTGCACCAAGTTACTAAAACATTAACAGATCCACACACAGGAAACACACACACTCAAGAGGAAAGAGTGAGCTTCAACTCAGTTTGTCCTTCTGCCCCGATCTGGAACATAGTTTATCCCACAAACCCAATTGCCTAATTCTTAGTGCCTTTTGCCAAGTTGCCCCCAAATAAATTAGATGTCTTTACGCTAACTAGGATCCCAAATATCCAGCTGCCCACCTGAACCATTTACAAGCTGATGATCCCGCTTCTACTGTAAAAAAAAATCAAGTCTTTTTTACCCCAGCTCTGAAAGAGCTTTTATGCCAGCTATAATTTTTAACAGGTGGGAAGAACTTGCAGGATGACCTCCACCAGCATGAATCTTCAGCGTTAACACACAATATGGCTCCATCAAAAACCAGACCACATATATTTATTTATTATAAAGATATATATGTTCCCCTTCCCCCAGTCGACATGCAACTCTGGGTGGCTAATAATCAATAAAATAACCACAGTAACCATTAAAAACAAACATTGGTAGCAATAGATTTTTTTTCTGTGCCAAACAGGAGATACTGATGAATGAAGCCATGTGGACCCTACAATTTAATTCCAAAAAGGTTTCTGGAACCCATGGAGACATGGATTCACAACTCTTAGCTGATGTGTCTTTCCTGAAGTAGCTGCAGATGGTAACCACACAAACCCAGGAAAAGATACTGGTACTTTAAAGAGTTGCAGACAGATGCTATGTTCACACTCCTGTGTACTTTGAAGTACCTTTTTTTGTATTATTTAAAAAAATGCTGCATAGTGCCGGTGACCTTTTCATGGAATAGTAGGCTATAACTTTAAAATAGCAAAAGCAAAATCCTGTTCTGTTCATCCCATCCATCTTCTGAAACAGAAAGTCATCAGTTAAATTGCTTCTATTGTTAATTCTGTGACATAAATTGCATTTAAAAACAGTAAAAGATAAAAGATGGAAAGCGTGACAGACCAGAGGGAATGAAGCGAAGGGGTTTACTCTCCCTGGTCAAAGGCCTGGGTGAAGAGCCAGGTTTTCACCACTCTTTTGCACACTCTCTGAACCCTCTCTTCTGGAGGCCATCCAGATCTCAGAGGGAACCTCATTCCAGAAGGCAGGCGCTGTCACAGAGAATGTGCACTTCTGGAGTCCCGATAGACAACATTGTTCAATTGAAGGAACCTGGAGTGCACCAACCCTGCAAGACTGAAGTGGCTGGGCAGATCCTATGGGAGACAGGTGATCTCTCAAGTAACCAGGCCACGTAGGGCTCTATAGGTAATAACCAGCACTTTTATGGAGGGATGTTCATTTTACCCCATTATAATATTTATAATTATAAAATGTATAATTAGCTATCTGCATTGCAACAGACATTCCCCCATCCTTAAAGTCATTCCTCAGAAGAAGATAGATGTTCCTACTGTTGATACTTCATTTAGAAAACACAATATTCCTCTTTAGTTAATAACTTTGTTCCAGCACAAAGCCAACCTTTCTCACTGAAAGAACAGTAAGTGACTTCAGAAAAGATAGGTACACTACAATGCAATTGAAGTTCTAAAAGCATTTTATTACTAATATAGACAGCTACAATACTATTGTAAATTCCTAGTTATAAAGCAATCCACATGACAAGCTAATACCCAAACCAACTCTAATGGAACCAACTGTTTAAAATGCCCTTTCTCATACAGTTATATAAACTAAAATGATATAAACACTATCTTGAACTAACTCTTTGATATTCACAATTACACAAAATTACAAAGATGGGGAATAAACAAAATTATTTTCTTTAACATTTTCTTTTCCAGTAGGAGCAAGTGAGTATTAAATATCCTTGATCTCATATATCTCCACCCAGAGATAGACAGAATGCGAAGGAAAGATATTTTTCCATGTTTGTTCAAATCCAGATACTCCACCCAAACACGAGAGTGTTAATTGTATTCTAACATGGAAAAGAGTGCTTTTCCCTGATATAAGAACAACATCTTGATGACAATCTATTCTGAAGCATATTGTGATACTTGATCACACCAACCCACACTACAAAAACAGGTAACAGATTCACAAAGGCTGGATACTTGTTTCTTTAAATGAATGAATATCCCAGAGTACAGACTGGAATCAAGCCCTTCCTTTGTAATTCTCCCTGCTCATGTACATTAAGCAGTTGCTTAACCAAATGGAAAGAGAGCCTCTTCTCACAATGCCCTCTTCCTATATAAGTACAGGAAAGTATACTACCACCTAAAAGCAAAGATGGGTAGAAGTCATCCTTTCACAATTTGCCCACAACCATGTAAATTAGATGCCAGCATTTTCTAATCCTGCATTTTCCCTCATATTCACATTCCACTTTTATCCAGGAAAAGGTTTTTAACCACTTTTCTTAATTTGCTCCTAAACACACACAAGGAGAATGAATGATTTCCCTTTTGCATAAATTAAGGGCTAGTTAACTTCCTCCCCATCTCCATTTCCCCAAATACACAATATTGCTCATCCCTCAATGCTGCCCCTTCCTACATACAAATAAAAGAATGGGAGCCATGAACCTCCCCATTTCTCATTATAAACATAACAAGATGGGGTTTAATTATCACACATTTTGAATGTTTTAATTAAACACTCCTCCCAATATACACAAGACTTTTCAATTCCCTGTCCATAAATTGGGAAGAGAGTTATTGTTTCTTTCCCATACATAGTGGAGGGGACTTACAACTTCCTTATATATGTATAAGGAAGACTTATAAATTATTATTCTCTTATCTATACATTGAGCAGGGGATTACCTGCTTAAAAATATAGGCACTGCTAGCTTCCTCCCCATATTTTCCATTCCAGTATATTAATTTGCCTATCCCTTGAGTAAAATGTAGTTTGTCATTATGACCCCTTTTTTCAGAACCCACCCATTCTCTCTCTTATTCCCCTAATATAATATCTAACAAAATAAAGACAAAACTGTTATGATCCCTTCTGTTTTGGAGAAGAATGCTCCCCCACCCCTATTCTTGCCCCCTTATTAATCCAGCTTGACAATATATAGGAGGCAGAAAGGAATTAAGATTCCTTCTCCCAACCCACTTATCTCCCATGCTTGTTATCTTTTTGTCCTCTTCCCATCTTTTAATAACTCCATGATTGGTTGGAGGAGGTGCTTAATTCCCTTCCTTGTACCAAAAGAAGAGCAAAGGTGGTTCATTTCATCCCCCTTGACCTCCTTTCTTTAGTTCATCAGTCTTCACACTCCATCTCTCGCCCAAACCATGGAAGGGGCTTTAATTCCTCTTTCTTTTCCAAGGGGAGAGAATACACCAAACATTTTTACATGTGTTAATTACAACCTGCCTTTCTGAAGACAAACACTGCTAAGGCCCCTTACAAATCACAACATTAACGGGATTTTTATTGATGGGATTTTCTCCCTTTTCCCTAAACCCATTTTGTTTTGATTCCCAGTTCCATCCCTAATCAGGGGGAGTCAGCTCCCCACTCAATTGGCCCCCCTCACTTGAATGAAAGGCCCATCAGTTCTCTCCCCCACGCCCACTTTGTGAGGGAAGAGAGAAAAAGGATGCCACTCCGGCATCTCCCACGCCACATTTATTTTAATCCCCTTCCCTCACCCCAAATTCAGGGGGTGGTCTTTAAACACCTCCCCTTTTCTCGGGGAAAAGGAAAAACCAGAGGGAAAAAATAAAACAAAACAAAACCCACACCCCCACCAACACTGGCAGGGCATGCCACTGGATATAAACAGAGAGCAAACCCCACTCCATCCTAGCACGGAAGATGTTACCTAGCCGGGTAACCAAACGTTTGCAAGAAAACAGCCAAGCTCAGAGAACCCCAAGGACTCCACAAAAGGAAAAAGGGGGTGTCCCTAGACCCCCCTGACCTCCCCTTCCGAAATGGACTTTAAAAACGCCCCCATGCCTAACCCCCACACTGAGGAGAGGCGAATTTCGGTGCACCCCCCTTTCTGAGGGGAGTCGGGCAGTGCGTCCGTCCGTCGGTCCCTCCCGCTCTCCATCCTTCCCCTCCTCCGTCGGGTCCTCCTCACCCGGTGGGCACGCGTCAGGCTGAGGTCTTTCATAACCTCTTCGAAGGCCGCCGTCTCCTCGGCCTGCTTCTGGTTGTGCAGCGCGATCTTCTCGCTGAATTTCCGCGGGTTGTTCGACGACGCCGCCGCCATCTTCCCCCGTCCGCATCCCTCCTCCTCCTCTTCCCCCCACCCCGACTCCCCCCTCCCACCGGGCTCCAGACACCACCACCACCAACCAGGCGGCGCCAACTGCGCAGGCGCGCCAGGAGGGAGACGAGGCCTGAAGCGAGCGCCTGAAAGGCTAGGACCGCGTTTCTGCGCATGCGCCGCCCAAGCGGAGGCTGCGGAACGGCCTGGATTGCGCAGGCGTAAGAACAGGCAGACTAGGGAGAGGGAGGTGGAAGGAGTTCAGAGCCGCGACTTGCGAAGCTAACTTGGAGGCGAGGCCTTTTTGGCGCATGCGCGATGCTTTCCCCGGCTCGTCGCAACTTCTTGAAGCAGGAGCACAATGGATTTTTTTCCTATCTCTATGGGCCGAGTACTTCTTTCTACGCTTGCGCAGGGGTTCTTCACAGCCCCCTTCACACTTGGTAGGCAAGTAAGCGGGCTGTGTCACGCATGCTCAGAGCGTTTCTCCGAAGTTGCTCGTTTGAAAATCAAAGCAGGCTCTCTCTCCGTTCCTTATCTCTAGTTATTCTCCCTTATTAGTGGAGCTTTATTCTCTTTAAAAAATGTTCCTCCTTCCCATGTCTCTCTCCCATTCTTCAGTGGCTGCATTTACCCAACGGCCATTTAGCCATTTTCTCAGTTGTGCCATCCTGTCAATCCTCAGCTTAGCCAACAAGCTCAGTTTGTGCCAAGCTAAGGCCAAACCCCTAACCAATATTAAACTTTGTTGATGAAATGGATTCAGAATAACACCAAGATTTTATATACTTGCATGACTTCCCATGCACCCTCCTTTCATATCAATCCAGCCCACCATGGCTTGTTTAACAAACTTACCACAAACCGACCTGAGGGAGCAGTGATGTCTGAATACAGTACAGACATTCTCTAAATATGGAGGCTGTTCCCATGGACCTCTTTCACCCTCTTTTCAAAGCTATCAAAGCTAGTAATCACTGCAACAACCTGAGATGTACCTCAAGCGTTTCCTTCCTTATGCTTTGAATCTGCTGTTCCTTGATACACCTGGTTGCTTCAACCATTCTTTTGTTAGTCATTCTAATCCTTTGGGAGCTTCCCTTAAGGCAAGTTGTAAATAAATAAATCAGCAATAAATAGCCAACGATAGTAATTAGGACTGCTGTATCTAAATGAGCACTAGATGACAGAATCCAGATTTGCATAGCCCAGATATGGTACCTCTAATAACATAGTAACACTGACCACGGTATATATAAGATCTGGCTCTGCCAATTTGTGTGGGGCATGAAGAAGGGTAACCAACCCTGTGGGTGGCTGGCACCTTGAAGATGCTCCCGGAGGTTAACAACCATCCCTTCTATTACCTTGGAAGATGTTATTTATTAATTGAACATTGGTTTATTGTATTTTAATCAGTATTTTAACCAGCATTTTCATTTTTACAGTAACTGCCAGAGTCGTTCATTGAGTGAGATGGGCGGTGACTAAATTTGAAATATAAATAAATAAAGATACACTCTTAATCCCTCCAGGATCAGAAACAGGATACTTCTGAGTTTGAGTGGCTGGCAAGAAACAATGGAGGAGATAACTTGTCCAGGAAGCCTTTGAAGCAGATGATTGAAAACTGGGTCCTCCTGCACAGTAAGGGGTGATTAATTATTTTGAACTTTTCCTTAGCGCTATATAGTAGAATTGCTCTGTATATTTTGGGGGGAATTTTGGGGGGTATTTTTCCCCATGCTGGCTGGGGAATTCTGGGAGTTGAAGTCCACACATCTTAAAGTTGCCAAGGTTGAGAAACACTCCTTAGCGCTATATAGTAGAATTGCTCTGTATATTTTGGGGGGAATTTTGGGGGGTATTTTTCCCCATGCTGGCTGGGGAATTCTGGGAGTTGAAGTCCACTCATCTTAAAGTGGCCAAGTTTGGACAACACTGACCTAAGGCTACTAGATGTGCCAAAGTTCAGTTCCTAAAATTAGCAGACACCTACCAAAGAACCATAGGGTTGGAAGGGGCATTTAGGCCCTCAGGTCCAATCCCTGCTCAGTGCAAGAATCCAGGCTAAAGTATGCCAGGCTGTTTGCTGACTAATCTCCACTTGATCTTCTTTTGTTTCCGTGGAGGAACTCCTCTATTAGAAGTTTTTCATAACATTTAGTTGGAATCTGCATTCCTATAAGTTAAGTCCATTACTCCATGACCTGTCCTCCAGGGTGATGCAAAATAAGCATTATTTTGTGATGTTATTTGGATATTTGAAGAGTGTTATCTCCTTGTATGATTAGATCAGTGTTTCTCAACCTTGGCAACTTTAAGATGTGTGGACTTCAACTCCCAGAATTCCCCAGCCAGCATGCTGGCT